AATGCGCATTAAAGAGAAGGTTGAGAGGCCAGTAGGAATAAAAATGTTTCTTTTGGGTGTCAGAAAAATTTTGCCTGAGGTGAAAGATCATGAATAGAGGTCAGCTAAGAGCTGCTGGAAGCAATCTGTTGGGGGGAGGATACTTGGGTGAGGCCAGTGAGTGGCGGGATCGATAGGGTTCAGGGGAAAGACTTAAAACGCACCAGCACTGTGGAATAACACACGTGGTCAATGAGCATGGGGAGCAGGAGAATGTGGCTGGACAGTATCAGGTCGGGCTGTCACCATGGCAGCAGGGTGATGAGGCCCATCAGTGAGGTCTGGATGTAACAGAAGCAGAGGTGATTCAGGGACCACAAGGGGAGCATCTGCTCCGGCCTTGAGGGCAGACGTGTCCACAGAGCAGGACCAGCCTGTGACCAATTGGCAAGACAACAGCTACCTCCTCCTGAGTCTTGCTCTCTTGGGTCTGACTTAGGAATGCAGAAGTTTTGGAGAGACACATAAAGCAGGAGTTAGGCTCTGCAGTGGGTAAGTTTCATCGTGTCCATCCGACTGGTCTGGGAGCCACCTAGGGGGTCACTTCCCGGTGTGTCTGAGTGGGGCATGGAGCTGTGTGCTGGGTGCTCTGCTGGGTGTAGCCTTTTCTGGCCATGCTCCCTGCTCCACCACTGCTCACCAACAACTGAGCGTCTTGCTCGGCCGTGCCCTTCTGCTGTGGCATTTCTTAGGAGCTGGCTGACCGTGGACCAAATGCTGGGAAATGGTCAGATTAAGCTCCTCGTCCTTTACATTGTGGGACTTAGATGTTGTGTTCCTGATACTGCCTGGGAGACATTTTTATAAGAATTTTGAGGACTATGGCAAGCAATTTGTGAGGCAGCTTACCTGCTTCACCTCTATTTCTCTGTACCTTCTGGCACTTAGCTAAGTTATGTTTTAGGCATCTCAGCTCACTGCTGTCATACACTGAAGTCTCCACTTCATTCTGGCCACAGAGCTGGGGGCGCAGAGCTCCCGACCATTCTCTGAGGACTGGATCTTATTTGTCTGTGTCCCGCACACAGCAGGAGCCTAATGCGTTGCCGTGAGTGCGTGTGCTGTGGGCTGGATGGCAGACGAACAGGCATTCACTGTATTTGTACTAGGCCTCCTTTTACAAGATATATAAAAAGCTTGTAGCTAAAATAAATACAACAGTAATAAAATATCAATGGAAACAGAAAAATTGTTTTCTGGAAAAAAATAAAGTCACCTAAGAAAAATCTGAAACTCAAATAGACTAATAATCTGAGGTAAAATTGAAATGACAGTCAAGTCTTCAAGAAACTGAGCAGCTTCAGACAAGTCACACTGACGTTCCATAAGCTATAACTGGCTTTCTAAAGCACAAGAAGTGTCACTAATCTTACAGTTTTGTCAGCCTTACCAGAAAAGGGACACTATAACAAATCAAAATAAGAAGGTTTCAGTTATGATGAAAAAATCCTCAATAAAATATTAGCAAATAGAATCCTGCTGTCTGCTAAAAAATAATATGCGATAGTCAAATATGGCTTGTCACAGGAATACAAGATGACTCAAATTTTTAAAATACATCAAATGTAAGCTATTACATTAACAATTACAGGGAAAATAATCAATTTCATATTATAAACCTTACAAGAATTAGGAATATGCTTAATTTACAGACAATGTATCAGAAAAGTACAAAAGCACCGTACTTGTGGCGACTTGTTAGGTACTTTAGGTAGTGTCGCAAGCCAAAGCGGTGAACCTGGCCAGCCGAGGCTGTGCGTGGTCCGCAGGCAGGAGCGGAGGGCGCGGAGTGATCCAGCCCGAGGCCAGTTAGATGAGCGGAGAAGCGAGGACAGGGCGCAGGGACGGTGGGTGATCTAGGGCCGCGACACTGAGGAGGGAGCAGACAGAGAAAGCAGCAAAGCACGGAGGACGGCCAGCGGCCAGCGAGGAAGGGGCGGCGGGAGGAGGTGCAGGCACGCGGAGCCCGGCCCGGCCGGTGGGCTCCTGGCGCCGCAGAGCTCGCTGCAGCCGGGTGAGCGCTCAAGGCCGCCGCGCGGGCGCTGGCAGGTGCCGGAATTCGCTGCAGCCGGCAGCCCTTCTGCCGCCGCGGTGGGCTTAGGCGCTCTGAGCAGGAGGTCAGGCTCGGAGGGCGCCTGCTTGGCCTCAGGTTTGTAAGGCCAAGGCGCGCACCCAAAGGAGGAAAGAGACCAAAGAGGCTTTCAAAAGTTCGCGGTGGGGCTGGAGGAAGAGGTGCGCCTAGAAACCACCCAGTTTTGCCATGGTGGGGGTGGTGTCGCCCGCTCACTAGCCCACCGAATATTTTACTAAGTAGCTGCTGGAGGCCGGACTCTGCTCTGGTGCTGGGAGTGAAATCAAAACACAAAACCAAACAACCCTCCCACCCACAAAAAAAAAATCCTTCGTACTATATGAGTATATATAAATTCAGTAATTTAAAACAAAAATGAAGCAACCCAAAGACCACAGTTCGCCCTATGGTGTGGGTCTGAAGGTGGCACGGTTCTGATGGTGGCACAGCCTGGAGAGGCGTGCAGAGGGGACAGCTCCTGGTCGGAGACCTGGATGCAGGGCACCAGGGCCCGGATCCGAATACACACAAACCTTTTCTTAGCGTATTGAAGTCTGTTGGTACAATTCAGGTGGACCCAACGGTCGCATTCCCAGGGCGTCTGTACTTGTACAGGGTAGAGTTTGATCTCTCTTTACATTTTTCTTTTTATGTCATCCCTTGGGAGGAAGTTACAGTGTATTTCAATGACGAGTTTTAACGTCAGTGATTAGAAGAATCTCCTGCGGGCTCTCTGGGTTGAGTGCTTGAAGCTTTAGTGAAGAAGAATGTCGGCAGCCAGGCAGCCAGGGCGGATGCTCCACAGTCAGTAAACCGGGTATCAGACCTCCAGTGGTCGGCTTAGTGGTTCGCTGCCTCTTTTTCACACCCTCCTCCCATCTAACTCCTCGGAGGGGCAGCCCGAGTGGATTTACGTCCCTCCATTCATGCCTACCATCTGTAGGTGGTCTTAGCGGTCATGAACTAAAGGGTGGTTTACTGGTGCTGAAAGAGGAAGGCAGGGAAGGGGTGTCCTGACTCTGACCCCAAAACATTACTTTCAAGGATAGACCACTATACTACCCAGGGCTACCTGGCAGGTTAAATGGTGACTGTATGTCAAGGGCTGGAACTAGTGAGGAGATCATAAATTAATGAGTAGCGAATCTGAAGAAGCCTGAACAGAAAGGGCATTTGAAGTCATTGAGTGTGAACTTCTTATATGAGAAAATAAAAATAATCACCTGGTCAGCTGGTGGTCAGCTGGTGGATGCCCCATTTAGAACTTGGGTGTCCTGTATTTTTCCATTATGTGACTTACCGTATTTCCTACTGACCTAAACTATTAAATAAGTCATTTCTCAGGGAAAAATTGTGTATCACCTTGGAGAACATCCCCCCGGGGAATGGGTAAGGACTGATGCCAGAGAAGATGGAACATCAAGCTGTGAATTTCTAACACTCAGGTCAAACCAGAAGCCCATATGGCTTAGTTATATTTCTTTCCTTTTAAATTCTACAATAAAGCAGGCATCAAATCCCTGTAATTCCAGCAGTATGGAGGCTGAGGCAGGAGGATTTCCAAGGGTTGAAGGCCAGCCTGGTCTACAAAGTGAGTTCAAGGCCAGTTTAAACTACATGGTAAGACCTCATCTCATAAAACAAACAAATCCCAAACTATGATAAGGCATGTAAAAAATAAAGGATGTTTTATTGTTTATATACAGTAACATATACATAGTATATATATTTTTTCATTTATATATTTGGTACAGGGTTTCACTATGCACCTTGGACTTGGACTTGTAGTGATCCTCCTGTTTTCAGCCTCCTCAGCATTGGGATTACAGGCCTGCACCACCTGCAACCACCCGGACTCTGGTTGCCAGCTCAGCATGCCCCGGGGAAGGGCTGGCATGGCATGAGGGACCTGGGATCGAACCCTGGTCTCTACACTTGCCAAAACAGGTACTTAGTCCTCTGAGCTGTCTCGCCGACCCCATATTATATGTTTTCTATGTGGCTCATGATGATTCCTTTTCAACACCCCCCACCCCAAGGGTGGGTATAAAAGCAGGCCTCAGGCTGCACATGGCCGCAGTCACACCACAGATAGAGTTCTAAAATGAAAAGCTACCTTTGCAGGGCGCTTGCTTCCTCCTGGCATGCATTTTTAAAAACAATTCACTTTACATTTTAGAGCAGCTTTAGGGTCACCGTAAAGGGAGCAGACAGTGTAGCACACAGCTGCCCACCAGTGGCTCACAGGTCACGGTGAGACACCTTATGGCCTGTCGTGTGCACAGCTCACTCCTGGCCGCAATTCTTGGGTTTGGACAGGCTTCCAGTGACAGCCCCACCGCTACTGCACCGTCCTGAGCAGTGTCCATGCTGAACCGCCTTTTGTGCCCTGCCTGCCCTCTCCTAACCCTGGCGGCGCCTGCTCAGCTCTTCTGATCAGTTATGGTTAACCCTCACGCCTTTCTTCCATTACTGAAGCGCAAGTTAAACTCTGGAGAGTAATGAGAAGAAAGCAAGTTACGGTTTTAATTCCCGCTTGGGGAGTCTCTGGGGGGATTACGCATGCCTTTCCTTACTTATCAAAGGGGTGGGGTGGGGGAGAATTTCAGTTAGGATATAAAGTAATTCTCCTTAAGACTCAGAATGAGGAGACCAGCCCTGGGTACAGGACCACTTTAATTGATGGGAAAAATCTTGCTTCCAGAAGGCACCTTCTGGAAAAACACTGGAAGGCACTCGACTCGATGAAAAACACTGGAACTGTATACAATTTTATTCTGAAGTTGAAGACAGAAAAAAAGAAAGGGAAAATGAAGCAGAGTGAACAATAAGGTGCCTGAGAGGAAGAAACTTGTTAAGCACAGGACTCTGAGCAAAGTATGCTCCTTCCCTTCACAAGTTAACAGCTCTTGAATAATTCATCCCAGGCGCAGGAAGGCTGTCTCTTGCCTGAGTGATGCGCACAGAGCAGGAGAGAGCTGCGAGTGGGTTCGCGCCACCGCCTCTCCCTTCTGAGCTCAGAGCGCTCCTCAGCTCAGCTGCTGCCGCGCCCTCGCCGCCGCGCTGCCTGCCACCGCCCGGCGTGCAGCAGGCGCTTTCCTTTGCAGCCCCTCGGATGCCGCCGGGGAGCAGCGGGGCGCTCGCTCCTGGCACGGAGCCCGGCGGAGTTCCTCCTGCTGACGGCGGACCGCAGGCTCGGCTGAGCGGCGACCTCCTGGCAGCCCCCTCTTCGGCGCGGGCTGAGGACCGAGCCCAGGACCAGGGATCCCACCCCTCCGTCTGACATCTGCCCCGTTGCGGCATCTCTGCGGTCTGCTAACCAGGGTCTCCAGCGGCACGCGGTGAGCGGTGAGTGCGCGCATGCTGTGGTGTCCGGGGAGGGCGAGGTGGGTCCCTGGCCTCGCAGGCGCGTGTCCGGGCGCGGGACACGGCTCCCAGGCGGGCACTTGTCCCCCGCCGCCCCAGTCCCGCCGCCGCGCCCTCCGCCCCTCCTCCAGCCCGTCCTTCCGCCTCCGCCTTTGTGTCGGTGGCACCGGGCTGAGGACCACTCTGCCTCCCTGCCCGCAGGTGTCAGGATGGGCGGCGCCGCCCGAAGCCGACGCTAGGCGCGGGGGTAGCGGCGGCCAGGATGAGCAACGCCTCGTCCGCGTCCACCACCGGGGAGCCGCTGCCGCTGCTCTGCGAGGAAGAGGAGCCGTGGGCGGGCCGGCGCATCCCCGTGTCCCTGCTGTATTCGGGGCTGGCCATCGGAGGCACGCTGGCCAACGGCATGGTCATCTACCTCGTGTCGTCCTTTCGCAAGCTGCAGACCACCAGCAACGCGTTCATCGTGAACGGCTGCGCCGCCGACCTCAGCGTGTGCGCGTTGTGGATGCCGCAGGAGGCAGTGCTGGGGCTGCTGCCCGCGGGCGCGGCGGGGCCGGCGGGGGACTGGGGCGCTGCGGGCCGCTACCGCCTGCTGCGGGGCGCGCTGCTGGGCCTGGGGCTCACGGCGTCGCTGCTGTCGCACGGCCTCGTGGCGCTGAACCGCTACCTGCTCATCACGCGCGCGCCCGCCACCTATCAGTC